TTTTTGAAGGTTTAGTGAAGTCCCTTAAAGCAATCAATGCTGCATCTTGGCATGAGGTGTTTCTTGGGCTTTGGATGGCTGCTCTACGCCTTGTTCAGAGAGTGAGTTTAAACATGGATACTTATTCTTAACTCTTAAGGCCGAAACATGTTAGGATCTTATTTATTTTCATAATTTTGCTCAGCCATGTTCATCCAACAGCTACAATTGTTTGACTATTTTGATTATTATGTTTTTTAACCCTATTCGATCAGTCTACAAATTACTAAAAGATATTTAACTCTGATAATTACAGATAACCACGAGGCGTGGACTAGTTACCACAGTAAATAGAAACAGCCTTCAAAAAATTATTTAACACCTTGTAACTATAGCATTCTTTTTAGGGGGTAGCCGTGATATTTTTATAAACACGGATTCTTGGTTGAGGAGCCTAACCATTAGGCACCAGACTCCATGAACAAAATGTCATACTTTGTTATACTTTTGTTATAATATTTATTAAAATAAGACATTTCCTAATGTAACATATGTATATTTGTAAAAAGAGTATGCCGGCCTAACACTAGACCTACCGTTTTGTAAATATCATGTAAGGTTTTGAGATGTCTTTTGCTTGCGAAGAAGCATACGAAGATATAATCAAACCTCAAAAACATTTTTCATAGTATTTCTTTCCCTTTTTACTGTCAGGAGAGGGATCCTATTGAGGGACCCTTGCCTCGGCTGGACACTCGTCTGAGCATGTTACTGTCAATTACGACCCTCGTGGCCGTGGATCTCGTCGAGGAAGAGGAATGTGTTTCGACGGATAAAATTGAATATGATTCTGGGATTGAACATCGCGTTCCCGGCAAAAGGCGCATGGATTTGATTTTCAGTGTCCAGAATCTGCATGGCTACCAGAGCTTGCTGGCCCCACCTCAGACAGTCATATCCGCTGCCAATCAGGCGGCCACTAAAGCAATGATGTTTGTGTCGGGCATCAATGTTGGCAATTCTTACTTTGAGTGCATAAGCTCGATGGATATGCCGATTAACTGCTGTAAGTGATACTCTTTTGCATATTGAGGAAGAAAAGTGTCTGTATGCATGTCACTGCTCCTAACTTGAAGTTACAATATGCATTTGCATTCATCTGTTAGTTGGTCTTTTGGTCAATGCTTTGGAGATTACAGAATTAAAATGAAGTTTTGTAGAGAATCTCAAGAGATAACCTACGAAAACAAATCACTTGCATGCAGCTGGTAGTTGTCACCAAGAAAACGGGTTTTCGGTCACTAGAATGCTCCATTGAACCAGCAAGTTTGGCAATTGTAGATTTTTTATTTTATTTATATTTTTTTTAACAACTGAGATTGCTGAATGCTTAACTAATTTGTTCTTTAATTATTTCTGGTAATATGCAACTAATTAAACATGGATAATTGTAGAGTCAGTTTCCTCATTCACTCTGTAATTTTACCTGTTGTAGAATGTTCTCCATTTATTATGACAAGAAATGGAATTATTTTCAGTAAAGGGTTCCATGATTATAATTGCACAAACCTATTTTGTGTAAAACTTCATTTCATCTTCACTAAAACTTTTATTTTTAGTGTCAATCCTCAACCACTAGTGCAATTTCATCATTGATTAACGCACGTAAAATACATTCAGAAAAATGGCTTGTTCTGTTGATTGAGCTTTACCCTAATCTGCAGTGATATACTCTTGCAGCTGGTAGCCTACATCATTTAATTGTCGAAGCATGCATAGCCAGAAATCTCTTGGACACATCAGCTTATTTCTGGCCAGGTTATGTAAACGGTCGTATAAA